ACAAGATCCCAAATAGTGCAAATGATCATGTTTCAGAGGCTTCCCAAATAGGGTAGTCGTGCAAAGAATGGCTTTTGCAAAAACCCTTCATTCTTGGCAGAATTGCAGATCTTTTTTCTATTTTTTTCTGATAGCGAGAGGCAATTCTTCTTTTTCGGCCGCAAGAGCCACGACGACTTCGAAAGAGCCACGCCGACTTCGTTCGCGCCGGTTCTGTCGCGCAGGTGTTGCGCGTCTCGTCTCGGAAAACGGTGTGTTCTGCTCCGTCGTCGCGCGACCAGGGCCGAATCGAGAAAGATCTTCTTTGCGTTTTCAGCGCATGAGCTTCGCGTTGAAAACGATGGGTGGAGCCACTGTGGGAAGTGCCATCACCACAGCAGGCGGGGCGACCGATACACAGTTCATTGTTCGATGCTTCGGGAGCGCGTAGCTGCTAGCTGCTGGCTGCTGTGAGTGTTGGCTGGCGGCAAACACGAATCTGTTGGTGTTTTTGGTTGCCTCGTCTATAGCTTTTCGTAGCTAAGACTTTATAGGTTTTCACAGCCCGGTAGCAAATCTTCGTTCCATCTTTGGAGGCCGCTTCACAGCCCAGGTTGTGCCACGCCGAGGGCTCTGAGCCAGCCCAACATTTTTAAGCACCCATCACGGAAAACGGAGGTAGTTGGAGCTCCTACAAAAGAACAAACCCCTGGCATTGTACGACGTATACTGTTGAGAAACAGTATGAAAACTGCCCAGTCCCAGCCACTATGTAAAGGAATCTCAAGCTGGCGCCAACCAGACCTGTTTCGGATTGAGAAGTCCGGAATTTCCAGCAAGGCCGGAATCAGTCATAATCAGTCTAGGAGAGTACATGTATTCTTTCGAAAGAGGATCCCTAGAAGTCGAACCGCCGGGTCATCCCGGAACCACCGAGCTGTTCTACTAAGGAAATTTTACACTTACTTGAAACCAGATCAACCAGTTCAACAAATGGTCGACTTGACTTCCATGTCGTGGTGGTTCCGAGTTCGGGCTCGAAGGACGGAAGACCCACATCACCACATCGCGCTCGCGCTCGCATGGACGAGCCGAACATCTCAACCACCCGGAGCCGAACACTGCGGTGAAAGCAACGGCTTAGTCGCTCCGGCTCCGGCTCCTGTGAGGATCCTCGCTCTTCCTGGTCTTTTGCACCCTCACCATCTTCGCGAAGCTGGGAGCCATGTGCTTCACGGTCACGCTGCCTGACCGCAACGAGCTCGTGTTGAAAAGAAATCTAAAAGAAAAATAAGGACAGCTGTCCAACTGGGTTTGATTGATGATTTGTTCCCGCCCGCCCACCTCCAAATGTGTTGCTCTTTGTTGACTCCGTATCGTGGTACCAGAAGCCACACCTCAGGGTGGTTTTTAGTCTCTAAGTTAAGTGAGTGTGCACCCCTATCCTCCAATAGGCACCCCTTTGGAAGTTCTTGCCACTGCTTGTTTTGCTTATGAAGTGTGGCCTTTTTGCGTGTCACTGCTTCTCACACCAGGGTGGCCTCCATTCTATTTGCGCTGTGTCCGCTGGGGGCATATTTGATGACATGTGCCCTGGCTTGCAGTCATCGCAGGGTTTGCAGCACTTTGCCATGGACAGCGGATGCAGGATGCTGGTTAACCAGGTACTGTAAAAAGGTTTAGCTAGGGAACTGGATGTTGGATATGTCATGTTTGCAAGTGGTGCTGCTAACAATGCAAACATGTGCAGGTCAAACTGAAGGCGGAGAGGGAGAAACGCGCAACACCCACATACAGAAATGCTGGCCAGTGAAATTTGCCGGAATGATCATTTGGGCTCAACATGCACACTGTAAACAAACAAGTCAACTTCAAGAAACATGTCTTTCAGTGGAGTGCGTGCCCAAATGATCATATGGCGTGATATCAGCGCTTTTTTGTCCGAAGATGGGAGGAACGAAGTGAATCGCTCCAGATTCGGTTGGAGACCCGACCCAATTCGGTCTGTCCATGGCTGTGGGTCACGACCCATGGGACCCATGGCACCTGGGGCCCCCTGGCATCGTGGGTCAACACCTCAGCTTGAAGTAAGTTCATGTGTCTCCTGGTTTTGACCCTGTAGCCACATGGAACCTATATCAACCTATGCCTATACTGCCTTGTTCCTATTGCTCTACTGGCAAGAGCTGCATAGATCAGTTTCATTAACCCCTCTAAAAGTCCCAACGATGCACTCGGGCCACCGAACTGGTCGTGGATGGATTGACTATCCCAGGTGACGAACAGTTCAATGCGTGGGAAACATGTCCAGTCCGGAACTTCTGCGAACGTCTCTACCCCCACGCTCCGGCCACGGCCCGAGCCGTCAGCCGCGCCGCGCTCCATCGCTCAGTTGGGCCGGTACGACCGGGTCTGTGCCAACGCTGTAGTGGCGGGCGAGCCGACAGGCCCCGGACACGTGGCGGGTTCGGTGGAGTCCGGCTAGTCGATCCCCCTTTGGAAGCGCTTGCTGCAAGTGCTTGCACCTGCGTCATGGGTCTTGGTGCACCAAGTTGGTACCGTCTTCCATCAAACGCAGAAGTCATGGCATGGAAGCTCGAGGTGGGTAGTTACGCGATGTTGCTCGGGGTGGCTCCCCGAAGGGAGGCTCCCTTAGTGCCCTTCAAAAGTGAACTGGAAAAGGGAAGGCTTGTTAGGATGGTCACATGTCGAGGCACAAGAGATTTTGTGTTGTTCACTTCTGAAAGCTCCAAATCCCAAACAGATGCAAGCTGGAAGCAGATCGCATAGAAGAAGGGAACTCACGTACCTCAAAGCCCGAAAGTTGGCAAGAACGGTTGGGAGCGACTTCAGGTCGCAACTGGAAGAGCGCCGGGACCTGAGCAATGACACTTTTGGGGCGGAAACGCGATGTTCAACGCGTTTCGCGCGTTCACGTGGGCGGGCAGGGCATGAAACTCGAAACGACTCGTGGATCGCATGACACGTGGCTGAGGACAAGAGTAAGCCAAGGATGGCAACCCATATCTTGGTTAGCGTGGTGTAGCTGAAAGAGGACGTGCACCACAGATTGCAAGGACTGGAGGATGGAGGGAACCACATGATGGACTGAAACTTGCTTCGGACCTAGACGTGAGGAAGAATGAATCAAAGACATTCGAAGACCTTGTGGTCATTTGTCCCTGAAGTTTTGGCCAAACCCACATGGCCCTTCCAGGTCCCAAATTGGCGTCAAATGGCCACGTATTTCACAGATGTGCCAGTGCTAAAAAGTGGCCATGCTTTGCAGGAGGCTTCCTAGTGCAATGTATAGCACCTTGCCGTCACGTCGAGCAACCGATGCTGCGAGGGCAGGGCGCGAGCACCGCTTTTGCGCGCTGGAGGGGTGAACCCAACGAGCCTATATAGAGCCTATTTGATCGCTGTTTCGATAAGAAGGAACCGATGGCTGATGTTCGATGGTTGCTTGTTCATAGGTTCCAAAGGAATTTCATGGCTTCGAATCCCTTCAACATCTAGCTGCGAATCACTTAGCCCTGGACACGGCGTTTTACGACAGAACCGCCGGCTGCCGCGTCGTCGTCGTCGTCGACGTGAAGACAGAGGGAGACCGGCGTGTCCGGCGTTCTCCCCAAAGAGCTTCATGTTTTGACGGATTTTACACGTCACCAGGTCGTTCCCTAGGTCTTTCACATGAAGGATCAAGGCCATTCGGGCATTCCGGACCCGACAACGGAAACGGGACATAGACCAGGAAATGGTCCAGGAAATACCCCTTGGTAGGGTTTATTGTTATTTGTGTCTGTTTCGGATTTCAATGACCATCTCGTCAGTCTGAGGTACGCTTTTTTTTTGGGCTGAACTCCCGTGCACGTCCAGCCTCGGCGATGCATGGCGGAAAAAAAGAGAGGCCAGAATAAAGTGGCCAAAGGTTGGGTGCCAAGGTCGACATCTGTCGACTACTCAAAGACCTGGAACCGACTGTTGTTTACGGGATTTTGAAGTGTCACAACTGGAGTGATTTCGGCACCTGAAGATTTGGTCTGGAGCTTTAAAGCTGGTTCCAGTGGGAGACACAAACGCTCGCCCACTGCAGTGGTGAAGCAAAGGTTTCTGCTGACTCAAAACTGATCTCAGTGTGCCTTTGCAGGTTTCACGGCAGAGTGTCAGATGTCCTGCCCTTGCCGTATTGCCATCCTCAGATATAGCCGGTTGATGAATGAACTCAGAGAGTCAATGAAACATCAAGTTGAGGATGGTCATACTTCTTTCAGGAAGCAATGGTGCGGTGATTTTGTGGGAAAAATCGGGGAGGAGGAGTGTGGTTGATTAGTGCTTGGTGCTTGTTGCGGACCTCATTCTTGTTTCAATCCCAAATGGGTGTTGGGGACATGCATGCGTGTCGAGTCTCTTTGCTTGCTTGATGCAGGAGTGCCAGGATCCTCCAAAGGGGCTTGCCATGAAAGCCCACAGAATAGGATCAAAAGACCCTCCAACCAGATGGTCCAGCTACAGAACATCAGGCCCGTCTCCCGTCCGTATGAAGCACGGCGCCGCACCGCCGCGCCGATCGAAGAGTACGGACGGTACCACGCGGGAACCGGACCCGGACTCCGGTCCAGATCCTGACAGGGAACCGGTCCGATGGTCCGACGTTGCGACCGGTTCCCTGAGAGAGCCAGGACACGACCGAACCCAGACACGAGCCGTCTGGGACTGCCATAGGACTGCCGATCAGTTGACCTTTTCAACCACCCCTGGCCTGATCGGCAGTCCGAACTGGCAGTCCCATGGGTCGTGTCTGGGGAAGAAAAAAAGAAAGAAAACCACCGGTTGCGTTTGGTCGTGGTTTCTGGACCTGCCCAACTCGTTGTTTTCACCCAACTTCAAAGGACCTTGACCTTCTTTCCACCCAGGGGCAGCCCCCAACACGAGCACACGGACCGGACGAGCACACCGGGGTGCTGTTGACTTCAGCTCCGATCGCCCTCGCCCTCCGTTCAGCTTCGTTCAGCTCCGAGGCCGGGTCTTCGGCGACTTGCACGGACAGCTCCGAGACCTGTCGGGGGAGCCCTGTGGCGCGGGGGTGGTCGGACCGGGGCGCCCGATTCGGGCGGCGGATGCCTCACGAGGACGGTTTTTCGGAAGTGGAAGCCCTTATAATAGGGGGGGGGAGTTTGGAAGTGATCGAGACATGAAAACGGGCGGAACTTTTCGGGGGGGGGTTGACGTGAGGATTGGAGATGAATGAGAAATTTGGTAGGATGACCTCTACTTAGTTGTCGGTTGGAAACCCAGTCTCAACCAGAAACTGAGTTTCAGTTCTGGATGGAACTGCCCCGCGCCAGCCACTTCCTGGGTAAAGAATCTCAAAGCAAGGCAGATTGGAACAGCCATAGGATTTGGGAGGAGTTCCATATACCTTCTACCAGCACCTTCCAAAAGGTCACCACCTGCCACTGAGAAAAGTCTACAAAAAGTCACAAAGTCACGAGGAGACCTGTTGGAAGGTGCCGGTATAGAATGCATATTGTTTGGGAAGCTCGTTATGGGGCTCCGAGTCTCCGACGAAGACTCTGTGGAGCGACGCGCCGTGCCGTGCTTGGCAATGCAATGAATCCGAGTCCACCGGCAGAGGAGCCTTCCGATGAGCGGTTTGGTGGACCGCGAGAACATGACCATGGACCATATATGACGACATGGTATAAGCAGTGGGTGAGCTCCTATAGCAGGTGTAGTTGTGGGGAGTATGACATGTCGTACGACCCTCAGTCAGAATCCCTTTGGGGGCCACCCCCGGCCACTGCTCTTCCAGTCCCAGTCTTTAGGGCCCATGGATCTCTTTGCCGGACCAAGCCGAGGCTTCTGTACTTTCATGCTTTCGGCATGCCCGGCCCGGACCGCCGAGACGTGGCGACGTTGGAGAAGGGAGAACGTGGTCCTTACATGAGGACAGATGTCGGGAAACGACGGTGTGAAAAAAACGCAGACTGGAATTGATCATTGATAGACTGAAACCAGCTTATACCTGCACCATCCTGTCTGGGTGTCCTGTTTGGAGATCCCGGATAGCCGGATAGCGGTGATAATGGAGATCCATTGGACACCCAGACAGGATGGTCCTGGTAGTATACAAAACGTATACAATCTATGGGTCTTTGTTTTTCTATTTGGATCCCGGAGATTGCTTGTGGCACTTGGAGTGTATTGGTTTCTTTAGCTCGAACACAATTGAAAATTATATTTCTAAAGATCATGACAATGTCAAGGACCTCTCGGAGGGGCAAACGCATTGTATTTAGAATCCATCGCTTTTGACCTCTGGTTCCCATCATCTGTTCCTGTTTGCACCTTTGAACAGCTGAAGGCCAGCTGGGCTCCCATCCGGGCTCCTAGTTGGCCCACCAGAGCAGAGGTCGCGACGAGACCACCTTTGTCTTCAACGGTGATTTCGTGGCAACTCGGAGCGCGGGAGCGCGCGTCCGCGAGCGTCCGCGGGATGGTGGGGACTTGAGAGGTGTACCACACACTCAACTGCCTGGTGGATGGGATTTTGCAAGATCCTTGTACACCCCAATATACCCCAATGATTCCCCAATGTATAGTAAATGGATGCCGAAGTCGAAAGGCATTAAAGGAAGTTCCTGTTTCCTTCCCTTCACTTCTCTGTTCTGTGGAGTTCCGGGACTGTGACTGTGGACCACCTCCCTTCGGCGCTAAGGACCGTGGACAACATCAACTTGAAACCATAGGCAGCGGAGCGCTCCGCGGAGCGGGATCGACACTCTCGGACCGGTGGAACAGCTGTCGGACCGGTGTTCCGAAAGCCAAAACACGAGTTGTTGCATAGGTTTGGTGGAACAACATGGAATAATGATGAATAATGAGGGGTTCGTTTTTTACGGATTTGACATGATATACTAAAACATATACTAAAACCAGGTCCCACCTTGTTTTGGAAGGGTCTTCTCGGTTTCGGTTTCGTTCGGAGGGTTTTGCTTCGTTCGCGCCCGCGTGTGTCTCGGTCTTCGGTGTTCGGGCAGGCTTGCTCATGGCCCTGAAGGTGGAGATCTTGGAAGAACTCAGCTCTCTTTGCCACATTTTGAGACAGGCTTTTTTGGCTGATGTTGAATGATTTCTATTAATAGCCAAGAATGTGGGACTGATAGAACTGATAACTGTACAATTCTCCATAATTTTGTCCTAGATTGGAGATGGCTTTCAAAGGGATCTGAGGAGTTGACGTATAGATTCCAGTCCGCTGGGCTGCCCGTTCCGAAGATGAAACGTTGAATGTCGTCAGCTTCTTCGACGCTTCAAACAGCTCTTCAGAGCCCTCATGGATGCCGAGAGCTGGACGACCCGTCAGCTTTTCAGAGAATCTCCCCGCGGCTCAGGTGCTTCATCCCGAGAAGGTCTACTTGATCAGGCCGCGCGAGCCGCCGCGAGTTGCCGCGCGCGCGGTGGCCGCGACCGGGTGTCCGGTGGATGTCCGGGGTTAGCATCGTCAGTCCCTGATAGGGCGGTGTTTGGAGCCGCTCTTCCTAATGGGGAAATGGTTCCTCTATACCCAAACGCTCCATGGGACTGCCATATTGGCCTACATTGGGGTGGTTTGGGGGGGGCCAATGTAGGCATATATGGCAGTCCCATGGAGCGTCTGGGATAGGCCTCACCCTGGAAATCACGAAGGGATCGGACCCATTCAACCGGACTGGTCAGGTTGGAGCGTTTGTTCAACCGTTTGGTTGGGCTGTGAACGCTCCAGGCCCTTGGGCTCACCTCGACTTGTAGGGCGAAAGGTGATGACCCGAATCCAGACCCTTCTGAAGGTGATGGGAAGGTGCCCATATCCTATCGAGTCCAGATCCCAAGTCCCTGCAAAGGTGTCAGGTGATGCCGAAGAGGTGCCCGTTTTCGGATTCTACGGTCCCGACACCTTCGTCCCGCCTTTACAGTGGTGAAATCGTGTAGGTACCGGTCGTGCCGGTCACCTAGCAGTCCCAGCTTGGGCAGGTCACGGTCACGCAGGTCACGCTTGGAGCTTGGGCATGAGTCACATGTATTTGTCACGACCACCTCCAGACCTCCGTGACGGACCACGATGCCAGGGGAAACCATGAAGATCGGCTGATGAACGAGAAGTACGGTTTCAAGCGTCCGGCGGCCCAGGGCACGTCTGGCTTCAGTTGGGTGGACGGTAACAACTTGCGACGAAACCACCCAGATTGTGGGATGTATAATTGCCATATATTACCCCATAGAAGGCCAAAGAGTCCCGAGACCTTGAAGTATGTGTTGCCTCACTGAAGTAAAGGACCATTTTCTCCAGGCCTCCCACATAATTACTGTATCTAACATTGTATTACCCAGATGCGACTCATGGGACTGCCATATATGCCCACATTTACCTTCCAAACCACCCCAATCCAACTGATCGGTAAATAGACCAGTCCCATTAGTCGTGTCTGGGATTAGATGAACATTCGATCCTTTGGAGTCTTCTCCACAAGTGGCGAAGCTGCGGGCGAAGTGGGTGTTTCCTTGCGGGCTTGGTTGCGTAAACCTAACTGATCAACATGTGGTTTGCTGGACAGCCTGGTGCCTGGCGGGCGAAGTTGTCCCGGCTCGACTCAGATGAATGCATGCTCAAGCTGGGCAGCGACTTCGGAAAGAAGATGTGCACAGCTTAGAGAGAGAGAGAGACTAGCCATCAGTTTGGCCTTCTTCATCATGAATCGATGAGGTGAACTGGACGATTCTCGCCTGCGGACCTGTGAACTGGGTCCTTGATTTTGTGTTCTTCTATTGTTCAATAAACCGAAGCAGTGTCCAACCAGTTCCAACCAGGCTGGGGTTCCTTTGTGTTGAAAGCCAGACGGCTTTTCCTCCATCCCATCCCACACATCCATAGGATATCCATATGTTGGTTTTGCTACTAGTAGCAAGGACGCGATTACCCCAGCTGTCAAAGACATCATTGGGTGCCAGTGCCATTTCTCACCTCTGAAACCATTAGAACGGTAGAACGACACTGCGAGTCATCTGCAAGTGAAAAACAGATCCCCCCGAGCTCCGAGGTTTGACTTGATGCAAAGCGCCTTTGATCGCTTGTCGCAAGCTCAGTGGGCGGATGATCCGTCATGAGACAAAATGGCCACCGGATGAGCTGTGCATTTGTAGTGACTCTTTGCATCTCTTTGCCAAACCGAGAAGCTTGAATTTATATATATTTTATATATAGCTTTGATTCATGAGGATCATGAGGCTGCTTGGCTTTGGGATGCTTTTGGTACCCTTTCCTGGGACAGCTATGTAATATGCTGGCTGTTATTATCTAATGTGTATATATGTGTATAATGGTGTAATATATTCTATGATCGTAGCCCCTCACGCATGCGTGCTCGGCCCAAACCACCCGGGCCCAAACCAGGGCCCGTGCTCCTGAGTTGGCTTTCTCACCCCGCCAGTTGAACTGGAGATCGATCCACTGAGGCCATTGGCATGCTTAATCGCCAACCGTGCATTAGTCTTGCACGGCGGAATAGGCCCGGCGGAATCGTTTCGGCGGAATCGCCTGGCCGATGGGGAGTCGACTCGGAGAGTGGAGAGACTCGGAGAGTGGAGCCCATCGATGTGCCGATCTGTATCCCGAATTTGTGGGGATGTTGAACATAAGTCTTAGTGGTGAATATGTGGGATTTGCATGGAACCCAGAATCCCTAGAACTCCAATATGTGTTGCCCATATTTGAGGAAGTTCCTGATCGGGTCACTGAACTCGTCAGATCATTCTTGTCCAAGTTTTGACTAACTATGAGTCTATAACTATGTTTAACTCGGATTAGCCCGAACTGGTCGTGGTGGATAAAACTATTATAAGTATTATTACAAGTACCAGGTGGGGTAGTTCATGAGTCATTGAACATGAAACGATTCAGGACGACCTTTTGGTCTTTGAAGCCCAAACAACACCAGCAACAACAACAGCAGCAGCAACAACAACAACATGGCTTTACAAGGGGTCGGTCTTTCTTTTTATGTCGCTAAGGATTCCTGGCTCACCATTGATCAATTAACATACAGATAATATAGTACAGTATCAGATCTTTGAGGATTTTACACTACAACACCAGGTCCCACCACTGTTTTAACAGGGTCCTCTTTGTGTCGTTTTTTCGACGAGTGAAGTTCCGCCATTGGACCACCAGGGTCGTTTGATCCCAAGGGCGGTGCACGAAAGCGCCGCCGACCACGGCGCGCGAATCGGCGAGGCGATGGCATGTGGGGCCTCAGCGATATTTGGAACGTGGCCAGGCGCCGGTGGACGGCGACGGGCGAGAAAACCGTGCGCGATTCGGACGATTCGGAAGGTGGCGTGAGTCACGGGAGTTTGAAGTTCATAACGGCAAAGGCAAGTTCAGAAGTTCCAATGACTCAAATGGAATTGAGTCGTATCATCCTGCCAACGGCAGAGTTGTTGTGGACACCCCTGCTTTCATGCTGGTTTGCTGTCAAATCCATAGATTTTGAGAGACCGATCAGGCCTGGCAGATGTCAAATCCCTATATATCAGCACCCTCCAGTCCAGGTGTTTCCTGGTGACAAGTTCGATGTCCATCACCACCTGTGGTCGGGTCTCCATCTCCAGCCGAACCGAACGGAGGGTCCTGATATAGATATACCATGATATACCTGGAGTCTCGTACCTTGGAACATGAGTACAACAAGTACCTGTTTTTATGGTACTGGGTCAGTCGGTCCGACCGGCGGGGTTTCCTTCACCACTGCTCCCCACGGGCTCGCGGGCTACGGCGTGGGAGGTTGAAAAGGAGTCCATCGGCCATGGATTAATCCCGGGCTCCTGGCCGGCTCCTGGCCCACCTACTCTTCAAAGATGGTGGGATTGTATATGCAGTTCTTTAATTAATCCCTAGGGTTCCATTCACCTCCTGGCCTCGAAGATGGTGATGGTGGGTGCCAGGGGTGTCGAAGACCACCTTTTGGGGTGTCTTCAACCCGATCGAAGTCGCGGAGAGACGATGCCGCAGGGCAGTTGATGCGGAGACGATGCCTCCATTCGGTTTGGAGGTCACCGAACGCATCAGGCCATTCTTTAAATAGCCGACTGACCACTCCATATATAGATCCCCCAAATAGAACTAGAACAGTATAGATCCTCACAAATCATGTCTTGGACACCGTGCCACTATCTACGTTTGGGGCCCAGCCACAAAAAAAATGAAGTGACTTCTACTGAGAGATGTCCCGACTTCGAAACCCTCTGGCGTGTCACCACCGCGTCCTCGTGGCCAGGCCTCTCCCATCGGAGAAGATACTTTCCAAGGTCCGGTGGGGTGAAACTCATGTCCCGCTGGGCGGGAGTTGCGCTGGGTGACCTGGGGAGATGGACGTGAGTTGGATTCTTCGGCTCGCGGTGCATGTCACGCGACCGGTGAACTCCCGCATGCTAAAAGGTGGTTGGGTTGCGACCAGAGAAAGATCTTCGGGCAGCACCTTCAGTCCTTTCAGTCATTCAGTGTTCTTTTTGAGTCACATTCATGAAAACAGAGAAGCGCGATGTCCAAGACATTTTGACGGGGACTCACTGAATTATGGCCTGAATCTCTTCAGGATCACCATAGACAGACCATGACAGACCTATAAACGACTCTGTCAGCAGTTCGGAGACTTTTCACGTGAAGAAACTCGAGCAGCCTTCACACACGCTGTGAAGGTCAAGTGGAGAAACTCGAGCATGGTGTCCATTGGTTGGTGTCCTATTCACCCATGTTTTCTACAGGTTCGACCGCCAGTATAGAGTTCAGCATCTTGGCTGGGAGTTGCTGTATTTGACTGTGCTCGAAAGCTCGAGCTTGCTCAACAAGAGTCACCCAAGTCGACATGTCAGAAATGACTGGGAGTATGCAAAAGAGTCAAACGAACCCTTCAAGAGTGACCCTGTCTCTGAAAAGTGGACGCCAGGAGAACAGCTGGTCCAGCTGGCTTGTTTGGGACGATGAAGATCAGCGCGATGCTCCCGACGAGAACCTGGAGGGTGACGGGATCCATCGTGATGGTAGTCCATGTGCGATCAATGACTTCTGTGGTAGTTCCTATATGAATCTGCACACTTCTAGTTATGGAGGGGTAAAATGTCAATCAGAGAGGGAGGAAGGGGGAGAGAGAGAGAGAGAGGCGAGAGAGAGAGAGAGAGACACACACAGAGAGACACACACAGAGAGAGACACCCAGAGAGAGACACAGAGAGAGGGCGAGAGAGCGAGAGGGAGAGGGAGAGGGAGAGGGAGAGGAGAGGGATAGAGAGAGAGAGAGGAGAGAACACACAAACACACAAACGTTCGCACGCAGACGCGGGAGGGACCTGTGCGTGTCCATTCAGACAGGCTCTTCAACATCCTTTGGTCTGACCCCATCGAAGATGGTGTCCATTCAGATCCAAATACCTTCGGTCCGGTCTCCCTAGACCCTCAGCGCGGTCCGGGCTCTCGCCCACACTGAAGCGCGGGACTGGCTAGTGACCGGGTTCGTCTGAAGGCAAAAAGGAACGCGATTCATGTCGTGTACACTCCGTGTATCTCCGTGGTGTTTGATTGTTTTCTGCAGCTAATCATTATGCAAGTAGAAAGGCAACTTTAATATGGTTTGTAGAGGCAATCTTATGGCCTGGCTATACCCTGGGAGTTTTAGGTGACCCAAAAAGGGAATGTTATTAACTTTGATGGTGGTGCCAAAGATCGTCGAACTGTACTTCAAGATCTTCAAGGGTGTAATCTATCTAACTATGCATCACGACCCTAATTATGTTGTATACGTGCAACTTCCTTTCTACAACAATGGCGGAATTTGATGCTGAAATCAATCTGTCACAAACATGTGAAATCAACAAATGCTCCACCTGGTTCTTCAAAGTGACCGAACTTGATCCCCTGGTTGGTTCGGTCACAAACAGGCCTGGTAAAGGTCACTTAGGCTGGGACTCCAAAAAAGGGGTCGGACCCGAATCCTCGGCCAAAAGGGCGTCCGACGTTTCTCACCACTCCCATCCGTTCTTTGCTTCGGGACCTTGCTCGTGTCGGGTCGGACCGCGTCGTTTGCGTCGTTGCGGGATGCGTCCAGGACGTCCTGGGAACCGGTTCTTCGGTTCTTCGGAGGTTCGATCTCCGCGGACGGATCCTCCGCTCCCCGAGGTGTTCACCCGTCGCCGCGGGGAGGCGTCACTGCACAGTTCGTTCGGGAAAGCCCAGGAGTTCGTGCAGAGTCGTGGGGGGGTGGAACTCCGGTACCGAACCGTTTCGGTGAGACTGGGGGCCCGGGTGCTAGCTGGGTCCAGTCATACCGAACCTGAGGAGGTACGACTGGAGCCCTATAGGGGCGTATATTTTCCCGGACTCAATCACCGCGTTATGTCTAGGAGAATAGATGTTAATAGGACAGTCCCACGGATGGTGTGGGAGGAGTGACTTTCAGGTTACATATGGAGTTGGGGTGGTTTTGAGTCGAAAATCCCGGGATAGTGGGGATAGTGGAGAGTGAATAAGGATGGATAAGGGGACATCCAGTGAGTGGATGTTTTAATGGCCGGAATGTTCTGTGACCATTTGCATATCTTTGCATCCGCCACGAAAAAAAAACACAACACCACATGTGTGGATGGTTCCTTTTCCCTTTTCCCCCACGGCACCTAGGCCTGGAACATTACAAAGACCTTCTGTGCCCGAAATGGCCTGGGCTTGATCGTGCGAAGTCATCAGTCCAAAAAGGGAAGCCGTTGGGAGGCTCAGTCCGTCGGACCAGAATGGTCGGACCACGAGGAGTTGAGGAAGGAATCCTGAGTTCGCCGTCGTTTTGGGTGCCGAACAGGTCCGAAAATCAGGACTTCTTTGGACTTCTAACCCAGATCCCGGACCACCACTCAAGACTCAAGACGCATCACGACGCTGGAAAAGTGGACCTGAAACCTGCCAACCTCAACCTGACCCTCCATCAACATGGGACATTCATGGGAAATTCCAAGTGGAGTGCTGTGCGTCCACGTGGACTTCATGTTTCCACCGTTGGAAGATGATCTCAACAACGATAGAACCACATACCAGGACCATCCTGTCTGGGTGTCCTGGCTGGACTACCCTACGGCCCTACACAGCTATCCGGGATCTCCAGACAGGACACCCAGACAGGATGGTGCATATAGCTGCATAACCACATATGTTCACAGCTTCTGGGCACACCCCATTAGGACCACATTCATGTTCACTACCCTCCTATCAGAAACAGGAAGTGGGTATTGAAGTCCCGTTCGACGAGAAAACCGGACCGACTGTTACGTAACAGGACATTGCTGAGGATCTCGGGTCATTGAACTCGTTAGACCATTCTTTTTAATAATCTTTGACTCCCACCTGGAAACCCAAACAACATCAAACAACCAGACATGAATCCGGATGTTTCCACAGTCCCTGTCCCACTTGCGTAAAGGATCTCAAGCTGGAGCCCTGTTGGAACAACCAGAACTGTTTCTGGTTGGGACTGGGGTTCCAGCCAGGGTCCAACCACCCTAATGCGGGCCCTCGAGCCCGGTCCGGAGTCTCCACCACCTTCAACCGGTGCAGCAGACCTGGTCCGTACGTGTCCAACGCTCCGCTCGAAGCCGGTGAAGCCGGTAGAATCGATCTGGCATGGTGCGGAACGACCTGGTGCGGAATGAATCCTTCGAAGTGTTTCGAAGTTTGACACTGGTGTGTCAAACCTGGTTTCATCAACCTGGTGTTTTTTTAGTGTCAAATCCTTCGGACCAGCCGCTCGGTCTGCGTTCTCTCGAACGCCCCGTGTGAACGGTCGTCCTGAAGGACGGTCGTCCTATGGGTGAACGATGGGGGGCCACGACCGAGGCGGCTTCGACGTGATGCACAGCAATATGTCGGGAAGCCGAGCGACGGCCTGGGGAGCTGAAGACCCTGCAACTGGTTACTACGGTAGTGAGTAATGCCCTTAGGAACTATATTAGAATTAGCGACCTGCTGGACCTGGTGCCAAACCCAAGCTGGTTGGAAGGGGGGAAAGCCTCGATGTTTCGTGGAGATAGCCGGGGGTGAGGTGAGGCGCAGCTTGGGATCGCAGCTTAGCCAAAGGATCCAAAGGCCAAGTTATAAAGGCTTCCAAAGCCAAACAAGCTCAGCCAAGACTCCAAACTGGCCTCCAGCTCGCCTCCCGTGGCGGAGAGCTTGATCCATGTGCCAAGGTTGATCCGTGTCTTCTCTGCAAGGGACTACGAGGCTCGAAAACCCCAAGATGCCCAGGGGAGTGTCCGAATGTTGATAGCTGCAGCAATAACATCAAACAACTTGCCCATAGCAAGTGGTCTTCAACCATTGCAACTTGAGCCTGCTTGACCTTAAAACAAGTTAAACTCACCAAAGAGCCGTATTCGCATCAGTCGAGGCATTCTTGGGAGGTGTTTTAGTGTACACTCAGGGCACTTAGGACTTGCTGCACTCCAACGTCGATGACGCGAATTCGACGCTTCTTCGACGTCTCGAGACGTCGGCGTCCAGGGCCACGGAAATGATGGCGCAGTTCTTCTCATCACCAAGGGTCGGCCGAGCAACAAACCAGGCCGCCCGGCGCGCCCGGACCAGACCGGGCCAGACCGGGCCCGGTCGGGCCACCGGCCCGGTCGGCATGGTGTTCAACGGACGGTCGGTGGAGGGATGCCGCCGGTCGATGTCGAGATCCCTTTGGAGAAAGCATGCCCTATAGGAAGTCCCAAGTCCACTTCGATCTTCTTAAGTCTTATGACGTCATCCAGTGGGAAATAGATGGACTGGACTGGGAAATGTCCCGACTCCGCCGCTTTCCACCTTTTTTCTTCGACTCGTCAGACCGTACTGGCGCCGCACCGCAGCGGCTGAGGGTCAGGCCTCCAAGGTGATGTGGGTCGAAACACCGGGAGGTTCCCAGCTGTACCTGGGTCATGCCCTAGGGCTCCTGGCCCATCTCCTCAGGTTCGGTGGTTAGACCCCCCTGGCACCCACCCCTGGCCCACCGCACCGAAACGGAGGTGGGACAGGAGCCCAAACGGGATGGGTCAGACATGGGGCGCCCCTCGAATCATCAAAGACCGACCAAACGTCCGAGACCGACGGGGCCTTCGACTCATCGTCAACGTCGTTTTTCGTCATCGGAGTGAGGTCGGCGAGTGAGGACGAGTCTCAGGACTAGTCTCAGGAACCTGTAGTTGACTTCGGCAAAAGACCGTCGAGAACTGGATATTCTTCATGATTCTTCGCTAATACAGGTCGTTCGACTGTATGTTATTTATATATAAATATTGTCAAAACATCGATATCGGTCTGAAGATTTAAGATTAGCACATTTTGGGTGTTCCTTCGAGATACTGTGGAGGTCTCCTTGGGCACTCACCGGTGACAAAAGACTTCCGCATCAAACATCAAAAGCCTTCCGCATCAACCTCTGCCAGGTGAAGAAGACCTGCTGGTGGTGCGACCTCAAGTATTAAGGTCCGTCAAAAAGCAAAGAGCCGAGGCGGGCGTGACAAACACCCCGCCGCCACAAGACCAAAGACCCACGGGGCGTCACCGCGTCACCGGCAGCTTCCTTCCGCCCGCGCGAAAAGCTGGTGCAAAGTTACTATAACAAGGGCATGGACTACTAGTAGCAAGGGCATTACTAGTAGCAAGAAACTACTCCCTAGACTTCCAAGACCATTATAAAAATGGTTGACCTTGTTTTTGAAATGAAAAATCCTTAGTTGATTCGGTAAAGCCTATTAAAATAATGGTTGTTGGAAGCCTAGGGTACTAGTAACTATGGAACCGAACACCTACAAATTGGTCGTGTCTGAGGGAAAACATCGTGTTTTGGCTCCACTTGACTACAAACATTGTGTTTCTGTCGAAAACAGTGTTTTTCCAAAAGTACTACGTTGCAAAGCGGTATAAAAACCCGTAGAATTCCGTAGGCAAGCGCGTCGGTTTGAAGAAGTCGACAAAACGCGTCTTGTCTAAAAACATGTAATCCATTTTCAGGGTGCGACATTTTTTGGGGTGCTTGATGTTCTTGGTTCTCTATAGGTAGTTACGTTGTTTTTGCCTTTGTTTGTCTCTTTGTGGGAACTCATAAGCGTCCGCGCGGAACTCTTACCGTCTGAAAGTTGGTGCTGGCGTTTGACCGATGTTCGTTTGAAGGTTCCATGGTTTGGATTTGACTGGACTTTATACAATCACCACCCCAGTGCTTACTGGTTATTGGATGGACAATACCTCTTCAGGGGGGTCGACAGCAACCACCCGAACTGGGTGGTGCTGGTATAGTCCACACTTTCTTAAATCCCTAGGGATCCAGTCGTACCGAACCTCAGAAGGTAGGACCTTGCAAGTCCCTACATAAGAGTGTCAAACACATCACCGTACCTGAGAAGGCACGACTGGATCCCTAGGGAATGGACTTGGAAGGTGTTTTGAGGCTATCCGCTGTGAGGCCCGGCGCCGCGCGGTGGAGAATGGCGAAGCGGACGACGCGGAAGAACTGGCCTTCACCAAGCGACCCCGGCGGAGGGTTGCGTTCCGCGGCCGTGAATCGCGGAGGGGGTTGGGAAGATAGAAGGATGTATACTGTATACCAGCATCCGACTCTACAGGCGTTTCCTGGTGACAACAGGTGTCCAGAAACCACCTGTTAGGGTCTCCAAACAGCCTGGCCAGGAGGGTCCTGGTACTCAATGTATACGTTCCACCGAACCTGGCAGGGAGGGCGGAGTTGTTATGTGAGTTATGTGTTGTTTAATTGTGTGAAGATGGGAAGATAGAAGATGGGTATAGTCTTTTTGTGAGGAGAAAAGAGGAGATTTTTGGAAGAGACGTTTTGGATGAGGTGTCTACATGTAGCAGGGAATTCTGTGGAAGATTCATATTTCCGTCCGTGGACAGTGCACTCCTGAGCATTTGGAGCGTGTCATACAAGGTGAGCTTTGATCGGTGGTCTTGAAAACGACTTTTGCCTCGAAGAAGTAGTAAGTCAATTGGTTAACTAACTGCACTGGTCCGGTGATTTCTGCGAGAAAGTCGTGTCATCCCAAAAATCGCTCCCCAGGAGAGTAGGCTCTACAGGCTTTTATTAGTCTTGGATTGACGCGTATGTGGTAGTGGCTAGTATACATAATGTTCTTGATCGCATCAACTCGGCGGATCCGCGTTGGAAACGCGCCATCCTTCGGCCTCGGTCGCCCTAGAAGCGTCCTCGCGCCAGGAGATTGAGCACCAGTTCCAAAGGCTCTCGCGGCTCCAAAGGAAGTCGCGGAAGCAGCGGTGCCTTGGATGCGGAACGCCGGTCGTTCTCGGGCGGTCCTGCCCAATTTCTGTCTTTCGCGGTTTTGTACGCACGCTGGAAGCGAAGCAGGGAGATCCACGTTTGGTGAACGGAGCGGTGAACGGAGCGGTGAACGGAAGTCTAAGACGTGGACGGAAGTCTAGATGATGATTCACGGGAAGTCTCACAGCTGTGGTTGGTTCTTACATGACGCCAGGAAAAGAAGATCTTTTGGGGCGGGAGACTGGCAGATGATGGAATTGGGGACATGATCCCTAGACTTCCAAGATCATTATAAAAATGGTTGACCTTGTTTTTGAAATGAAAAATCCTTAGTTGATTCGGTAAAGCCTATTAAAATAATGGTTGTTGGAAGCCTAGGGGATTGGTGCTCTTGCCTAGTTGCTGCTGAAGCTGGGAATGTGCCCGACTTCTACTTCTCCTTCTTCATATTTGCATGAACTTCTTGACTTCTTCTTGCACGGTGTCCAGTTCATTCCAATGTGGGCATCTATACCAGCACCCGACTCCGTGCTGGTGACACTCGTGTGCCCAGCTTCACCATGCTTCACCTGTGGGTCGGGTCGAAACAAACAGCCTTCGCTTGGCCGCCGGTCTCCGGGTCTCCTGGTACCTGTCCATCCAAACCCTAGGCTTCCAACAACCATTATAATAAGCTTTAACCGAATCAACCAAGGATTTTTCATTTCAACAAGGTCAACCATTTTTATAATGGTCTTGGAAGTCTAGGGCAAAGGTCCATCCGGATCCACGGATCCCGGTCGGATCGAGCCCTACGCTCGGTCGAGGACGGGATCGACGACTCAGTAGCGCCAGCACCGATTCCCCAGACGAGGACGACGCGGGGAGTCGAATCCGCCGGAGCAGGTCCTTGAACCCCGGAGGTCCTTGAATTCAATCATATACTGTCCCAATGATATGCTGCAGGAGGTCGAATTCAATTATACCTTGAATCCTGGAGGTCATGTTAGAGTCTGACTAGATGTTTCACTGTCCCACCAGACATGGATTGGAAAGCCTCGACGTGGATTGGGGGGCGTTTCACTTATCTTATAAAGGAGTCTACATTAATTAGATGGATTCAATTCAGTTGGAGAGTTGTTCTGACGAACACACGGAAGTGCATGGTTGATCTTTGAGGGAAGAGCATGAAATCATACAGAAAGGATCAGAAAGGGTGGAAATTCCACATTCATCCACATTCCATGAGTGTATCTCATGGATAGATTAATATAGATATACATTGTCTTTCGGCAAGACCATAAAGATCCAGATCAAGCCCTACATGTCCAAAGACCCAGTAAACCTAGTCCTGAAACCTCATCGACTAATATAGTGTTTTTGTGTGGTTGAGACCTCAAACCAAAGCCTTCGTTTTGAGGGTCTGGGTCCCTCCCCAATGCTCAAAAAGGACTCCAACTCGTTCGCTTAGGGTTTTGACCCCTCACGAGCCTCAGGGTTTGGGCAACCAAAAATGGAAAGCTCGAGTTGGTTTGCGTTTGTTCTTTGGGTCGCCTCTGTGGTCTGAGGGCTGTTTTTCGAGTCATTCGGCGTTGAAAAACTCTTCGTTGCATGTGCGATGTCTCGCACATGCTCACCGACATCTGCCCTCAAAAGGTACATACCTGGACCAAAATATATCCCAAACGCTCCATGTATGGAATATATGCCTACATTGGGGTGGTGCCAGGGGGGTCAATTGATCGGCATATTATGGCAGTCCCATGGGTCGTCGTGTCTGGGATATGGCCCACTGCCACGTGACTCGACTTCATGCGACATACCCGCCTACCCAGCCGACCCGACCCGACCCAGACTCGCCACGGAGCCCGGGCGTCCCACCGTCCAAGGTCTCAGATCTGGGGATAGTCCTCGAAGAGGCGCAACCGATCGCCGAACGAACGCCGCGAGGCAACGACGCCTCGAACGAAGGAAGGGAAGTCGTGGGCTTTCGCCACGAGTGAGCCAGCGGTCCTTTGATCGTTCTGGTGTCTCGTTCCGAATTCCAGAACCCAACGTATAGATGAGAATCCCTTTGCCGAACCAATTTCCTTCGGTTCGTCCGCGTCTGCGCTTCTGGGTGTACCAAGATCCACCCAGGGAAAGGCGCCGCGAAACGGCGATTCGTTCCAAAGACCACCGGCTCTGGACGTGGACGCCAACGAAGCGACCCTGCCGGGGGAAGGCAGAGATGGATCGCCAGCGAAGAGTGCAGCCTGCACCTGCTTGAAGTGTTGAAGTGCTTCGATCCGTCAGCTTCGCTGTTTGGGTGATGTTCTGCCGGTCGGGGCAATTGTTGGGCAATTGTTGGGCAATTGTCGGGCTAAATGATCCACCGCTTCGACCATCTATTGATTGGCTGTGGACGTCATAACGTTCAGTTATCCTAGAAGTCGTGGCCTACCGTCCTACCCTTTTTTCCAAACAAACGGGTCATCCCGCACAACGGAGCTGTTTTTAGGGGTGTGACAGGTCACCAGATCCCAAAAAGGCTCGTAGAAGCGGACCTCCAGATGTCCAGGTGGGAAAGGGTCGCCCTCCGCGCCCGAGTTCCACTCTGCAGGTCGTTTGAGAAGCTGAGGCCGTCGGCCTCCGCGGTCGGGGTGCCGGGGACGCGCGCGCTGGGTCCGGTGGGGGGAACGGAGGGGGGAGAGGAGCGCTACCAGCAGTTTCCATCATGTAGTCCTACCCAGTCAGTGCAGAACCTGTGACAGCTTTTTGGGGGGATTGGTTTACTAAATGTCAGATGGAAAACGATGATATAACATGTTTTTCAAAGGAAACGGAGGTAAAACGATGATATAACATGTTTTTCAAAGGAAACGAAGGGAGTTAAGAGGAAGTTAGTGGTTTTTCAGATGTTTCACATTTGCAGAATGCCGTCCGTCGAGGCTGTGGCCGCTGAGGATTCCCCAAGGCAGGTGCCTTCAGGAGTCGTTGCTGGTTATTTTTTTCGCTGAGGACCTCGGCCTTGCATCCTGGTTGATTGGAACCTTCGGGGTATATACATATTGCACGGCCCGAACCTGACATAGCCTGACCTTGATGTTGGTCTCTGAACAGACAACTCAGACAGATACCCTCCCTGGAAGGTGGGCCGAGACCCATGAGTTTTCCTCTACCCACCCCATGTCCTCTTGACTTGGGCACTTGAAACGTGCCAGGCGATGCCTGCGAAGAAAAAGGGTCGAAGCTGCCAAAGGAAGGGGCAGTGCAATCTTTGCAATGCAAAGGCTGCAGTCTCACCAGGGTGGACACCCTATCACCAGGCAGCAGGCAGCTGTTCATCCAGCCACACCTCAGATCATAGGTTTCAATCCTTAAGAATTGACCTAGATCAGCCAAGCTTGGGTCTTCAAGAAACTCGTGAAACCCGCCGTTTTCTCGGTGCCCCCCCTTCCACCACACATCGGCACCCGCCGCCGGGCCGCGTGACTCAACCGTCCGACGACGCAACAGTTCTGCGCCGCTCCAGATGGGGGAAGGGGAGCGAAAGTCAGCTCCCCTGGCGCGGCGCGCGACGGACGCGCGCGACGGACGCGCGCGAACGGTTCATCTTCAGCTCGCCAAGCTCGGCGAGCGCGCGGCAGGGTGTAGTAGCCCTGACAAGCTGAGACACGAGCGCCAAGAGAGATGAAGAGCGCAAAAATGTGTGTTTGGTGTTGATTTGTCCATATATTTGTCCCAATGCACTTACACGGCTCAATTCTATGTTCACATCATGTTCGCTCCTTTAAATGCAGATAGCTCACAAGCTTAACAAGCTTTTAACAAGCTGTAACTTGGTTATAGTGATCGCTCGTCGTTTTTACCCGCCAACGAGCTGTATTGGAGCCTGCCGCAGCCCGTGTGCAGTTCGACCAAAACGAGCCTGCTGTGCCTGCTGTGTCTCGCGTTTGGGTGTGCCTGGAAGAAGGCAAATAGACCACAAAACCCATTGTTTGGGGGATGTTGGGGGTCTCCCTGTCAAAATGCATCCCCATTGATGTATATGGAATGGTTGCCTATCCCAGGGATGGGGTCACCATTCATCAGGACCGAAGGGGGCCTGCTCAAGGTGATTTAGTTGCTCTGGAGATCTTTGGGTACCTTTTTTTAAAATAGTTCGGCAGGGGTCGGACCGGACTCTCCACCGAGTTAGGCAGGGGGAGGAAGGCCCTTCCCAAACCCTATCTGGTGGGAACCGGGCCCGGAGTCTTCGGGTATGTCCAAATACATCGGTCTTCTGAATCTACATGGCCTCTAGGATGCTCTAGGATACTCTAGGAAGCTTCTGGATACTCTAGGACTTTCCAAAGAACCGGCGCTCCAACCTCCGGGTGTTTGAACTGGAAGTGTCACTGGCGTCACGCCACGCTGTCTTGCAGTTCCATGGACATCGATCGATCTGGTGCAACCTTGGTAGGTCCAGCTCCTTCCCGCCCGAGAAGACGTCCACGCTCCTGTCCATCATGAAGATTTTGCTCGAGGAAGACGGACGGAGACCTGAAACAAAAAAGCCCGGCTCAACCAGAAACTGTTCGTTCGATCTTTTGTCAGTCCCACATGTTGTCCACCGCTTTGTATGTAGGATCTCAATTGCCATATTGGAACAAATTGGATCAACATTCCAGGACCCTCCTGGCCAGGCTGTTTGGAGACCCGACCACAGGTGGTTTCTGGACACCTGTTGTCACCAGGAAACACCTGTTGGAGGGTGCTGCTATCAACCATTTGTTGAAGGGACGTCCAGAACATGCAGATCTGCTGCGGCTTCGACCGAGGTCGTGTTTGAACCTGTTCTTCTCCTGTTCACTTCGGACGATGGGACGGGCTTCGACCACGTGGCTTCGGCCACGTGGCTTCGGCCATCTTCCCTAGGCTTCCGGTCGCCCACTCATTGAGGCTGAATCCCGAACCACCGAGCTGTTTGACGAATTTACATACACGTCACCCAGTCAACCGTTGTTTGATTTCATGGTCTGTCGGGATTGCACATCTACTTACCTCATTCTCTGCAAACAACCACCTGGTTTTGCTTAAGGTGATTTTTTCTGTTCCCTATGTCCCCTTCTGGCCTTTGGGGAATATGTTTTACTTTTTCCATGTTCCTTGAGCAAATCCAAGACAACAATGGCAGCCTAGCCAAACTGGTGTGGGTGCGCCTCTCGCCAATCCTCCCAGAGTGTTGTTCAATCCAGAAAAAATGCAAAATAACCTATACGATTGCATATACGATGTCACCTATACCTGCACCATCCCAGACCTGGGTGTCCTGTCGATCCCGCATAGCATATAACCAGCCAGGACACCCAGATGGTCGGATGGTGCTGGTAGGTGTTGCATACAATCAACACCATGGCCTCATCTTGAAGTATCGAACGAGTGATTTGGAGTCACGTGAATCGTGGGTCCCAACACCTGATTCCCAGACACGACCCGTCGACTGCCAGTCTGGACTGCCGAGAAACAGCCAGACACCTGAAATCACTCATTCGTCCCCTGAAATCGGCCGTTTTGAAGGCAGTCCGTCCTGCCAGTAGCTCGATCACGTGTCCGGTTCCGTTCCGACGTTCGTTCCGGCTCGGACGGAACCGGAACCGGACGGTCGACAGGACTCCGTGCGACTTCGCTTGGAACCGGAGGATGCCTTTCAGCTGTTCCAGGAGACCGTTGCCGCGGTTCGTCGGACGGAGGCCGTTTTCGAGCGAGTGAGCGAAACAGACCCTGCTGGCGACTTTCAGGGTCACCTTCCGTTCGACCATGAGAATTCACCAAGGGTTTTGTAGTTTAAACTGATGCTAGAATGTCTAAAACCCAAGGGTTCTTGGGTCGTTCGACCAAAATCCATCTCTGCGCCCGGACTTTCGGCTTCCAAAGGACTGGCTTCTCAAACACTCTGTCGAGCGGCCGCTGGAGCCTCGGCGCCCCGCGCCTGCGCAGCCACCGGTGATCGCCCGCCCCCGAGGCCCCGCAGCGTGGGGATCTTCTCGTTCGATGATGTGAAGTCCATCGTCGAGTGCCCGAACCATGGCCTTCGGATCGTTCAGGTTCGACCCAAAGGCCATGGGAAATGGAGGGATGCAATAGAGGGGAGATGAGGGGAGACTCCTTCTCCTCCCCAAGTGAAGAACCCATGCAAGTTCGGTATACCCTGGAAGTCGGTTCGATCAGTTTGAAAATGGTTGATCTGGTTCTGTATAGTGTAAAACCCTTAGAAAAAGAATGGTTGTTCAGTAAAGGCCATTAAATGGGCGGGTAATGACCTGACATCGACTACTCTTTTGTTCCTTAAAGTAATATCATTGCGCTGATGGGACACAGAAGTGGGGACGCACCCAGATGGGGTGCCAGAAGTGGGCCATCACATGAACGAAACCTGAGTCTCTTCTTCAAGTTTGTGGCGCAATTCAATTCTGCGGCGTGGCGAGTGGTCAAACATTGTTCACCAAGTGTTAAGCTGAGAGATGCAGGGTCACGGTTGTTGAACTCGACCTCATGTTGCTCTCCAGGTATGCAACCAATTCATTCTTTCGGCACTACAGGCGACTCCGGGATAGGTCAACTGGACGTCGGTGTTCGTTTTGCTCTTTTCAGACGTTGGTCTGGGCGGTTCGGGAGTGCAAGCACGAAGTTCAGCCAAGTGTGGGTGCTCGTACCCCAAATCTGAGAGGATGTTGGAACTTGCTAGACATCCATGTTCGCTGGATTTCGCTGGTCTTTGGAGTTTGGGTCCAATTACGCAAGCCTTTGGAGCCCTTCTCGGGCGAAAATGGTGCGGGTCATGCCAGACCTTTTTTCCTCAAATTTGAGGATGGTGGACCTTGCGCCAGATTTAGAGGCGTCGACCGGGATTTTTTCCCCCAACACGAAGCTCCCGGCTCCCGGATGCGCCCTGCAGGGTTGCCGTCAGACCCGAGCTGCGCTCGCGTGACCTGACCTAGCATGACCGGAGCGCATGACATGCCTTGAACTCGAAGTTCCGCTCGGGGGCGAGGCTCTACATGTATGCCTTCATGACTCACTGTGATGTTTGCCTACGTGTGGGTGAGCCACTGGGAGGAGAGACCGTGGGACACCAGCCCTGATGACCGAGCGCGGAGACTGACGTGAGACCCGGGGGAGCGAGCGCGGAGACCGGGTGGGTGGATCGGATCGGCCGGTGGCTTTCGGATCGGTTTTGGATGATTTGGTTGCGGGGTGGGGTTCTGCTCAGGCAGGATAGAAGCGAAGCCGGAGAGTCACAGGTTTCTGGAGAGTGGGCGAATTCGGTAGTCTGGCATCGAATGGAGTTCAATTGAACTTCATTCACCAGGAACTTGGGGATTGCCAGGACCCCATGATGTCCCTTTTCCAGGACCCCATGATGTTGTTCCTTTAACATGGTGAGGGGATGGACATCGCAGGATGCCTCACGAAGGGACAGGAAGGCATCCTTCGCTCACCTGGAGGAGCCAAGCCTCTCATCCTCAAGCCGCTGCCTATGACGATTGAGTCTGAAGCAAGGGGCCTAAGGGGGAGTTTCAGCAGATTCCATCAGATTCCTACTTTCTTTCCATGAGATGATCGAAAGATATCGAAAGAAAACCAAGCAGATTCTTCCTTCAGAAAGCAATTAGATCATATTAGATCCCAAAAACAATCAGTCGTTCCTACTTGTTTTTCCTGTGGACCTGGTTTTGTAGTGTACAATCCTTAGTAAAACAATGGTTGTTCGGTAAAGACTACTGAAACAATGAAGGTTTTAATATGTTAAAAACTATATACATAGGGGGTTCTGTCGGGCGTTAGAGATCCAGGCCACAGACCTTTGGTCTCGTTTGAGGACCAAAATCTGGTCCCCAAATAGATAGAGCCAGCCTTGGTTTCCAATACCTTTTGAAAAGGAGCTATAGTATTTAGTTAAATAGATAATAAGATGTTGTTGCCCTGTTTGTTTTTGCAATGTAAAACCCTGAGTAAAACTGCTTGGTGGTTCGGGATGACCCGCCGAGTAAATTAATGGTTGGAAGCCTAGGGTATACATATAAAGATTACATATGTTGTGGCCGAAAGAATTTACCAAAAAAAGAACGCGGGATCGTCCAAGCCACTCGAGGTTGACCCGACGGTGCAGCCAGAACTGGCACACTTGTTTAGGCTGCGATGGGAGTGAACCACTGCATCGACGGAAAGGAAGACGTTTTCAAAACCTTCTCAAAGATATTCGAAGATCTCCGTGTGTTTGCTGCCTATATAGGTTAACCCTCAAGATTGGTTGAATATGCGTTCAAGTGAGATAGACTGAACATGACTGAACTATGGAAACGGTGTTTGAACAATGCCTGCGGAGTTGGAGTTAGCCTGCCAACCAGTCAGTTTGGACGACACCTTCGGTGCGACTTCTTCGACCCTTCGGTGCTGTTGGAGGCCTTCAGAGCAGGAGCAGGCTGAAGCAGAGATGCGTCGGATACGCTCCAAACAGGAACCTGAGGCGGGCTGAGATTGGACGATTTCGTCGACCCTGGGCAGCCTGGCTGTCCAGGATGGGCGGATGTATGTCAAGGATGTGTGCATATATACGTTCCCTAGGGATCCACTACCACCTTCTCAGAGGTACGACTGGGCCCTCCAAGCCTACATAATAAATAGTCTCCAATCACCATACCTGAGAAGGTACTTGGATCCCTAGGGGTTATATATATATATATGTACCGACCAAGATCTTCTCACTATGCAACATGTCAGAAAATGTTTGCCTTTAGGCTTATATAAAAAGGCATCAATGCTGCACAGTTTGAAGATCAATATATAATGTGTTTTATCAAATTTATTGTTTGTTTGGCGATACTGTCATTGAAACCAGATGAAACCGGACGTCAGATGCTCACCAAAATTCTAAAGACTACAATGTTTTTACCTCCCAACCAAGATCCCCTGTCCACCACGAAATAACACATTTTGGAGCCTCACGCAATGGGGCTTTGGCCCCAACATTGGAGGCCATCTAGTCCAAGACTGTTTTAAGAATTGCCTTTCGATAACCTGAAGTTCTTGGAAATTCCTTTGGTGGTGCCAGATTCCTGGATCTTCCTATGCCAAAATCTGTTGAACAGTTCGACGGTTTGCGAAGATCCAGAGATCGTCCAACTAGACTTGGGTCAATGGAAAGCCAAGCTGCCTGGGCCTGCAGTCCCAAAAGGCTCAATGGCTGTGTGGCCCCAACCCAACCTAAAGCGCTTCGGCTTCCCGCGGCCGAGAGCCAAAGCCGTTTCGATCGCTACCAGGGTGTTTTTCCGGGTGTTTCGCTCCAGGTGTTTCACGAACCCATCCCCATATACCCGTTGGGCTTCCTGGCCCACCATTCATTTGGCTAAACTGCGGGTCATCCCGAAATCAACTGCAGGCTTTTACACTAACAAAAACCACCCAGAGTCGTTCCCATGTGTTTCTTGGTACGTCGTTCCTGGAAGTCGAACGGGTATATGTTGCCGGCAGGTTCAAGTTTCTCAACGCGGGTCGTCGAAGCTCCGCTCCCGCTCCCGTCGCGATGCGAACGAGTTCGTTCGACACGCATTCCGTAGCGTCCGCGTCGAGTGCGCAGGATGAGCGATCTGCCATGATCAAACAACGTGTGGAAGAAGGAGTCAAGAAGTCACGGCCTGAGGTCTTTTTGGGGGGGTTTGAAAGGATAAAACATAACAAAATGATGCAACATGTTATATAGCGTACAGAATTTAAACAACAAAAAAAATAGCGCGCGCACACAATTAATGTGTTTTGCTTTTGAAAGGACAGGCGGACAGGCATGGCGACTGGCCTTCTTTGGTCGCTGTGTCTGCTGCAGGATCTGCCCCGATCCCGCCGGCGGGTTCCGGGGTTCGGAAGCGGTTCGGAAGCGAAGCCGAGTGGGCCAAGGGCAGAAATGAGATCAAATGAGCCCATCAATCCCAGAAAAGGTACCCACCGAAATCTACAGGTGAAAGGTGGAAAGCCAAAGATTGTATATCCAAAATGATCCAAAGCAGTTTGGTGTGGCCGCCCATAGCCAACAATCTCTTATCACACAGTGGAGATTCAACCACGACCTTGATGCAAGAAGTGCTACAATGATCTACAATGCATTTACACATTTCTTGCATCATCAACTATTCCAGACGGTTTGAGCTTCTTGCGAACGGTAGTCCCTTTCAGGAAATGGCAAATGCCTCGTCACCTTGAGCGGAGAAATCTGGTGATGTGCAGTGGAATCTGCGGGTTTCGACGTGTGGTGCATCCCCTCTCTGTCCAGTCCTTTGGCCATTTGCTCCTCAATTCGCAGCAAAGCGTCACTGCCCAGAGGCTCATGGACCCTCACATGGAGGGGGTCGAACCAAGCAGCATGTGTTTTTTTTGGGGGGGGGCGGCATGGTGGCGCAGATCAGCTGGAGCTCTTCAGATCGTGCGTGAGTTGACTCCTGTCGCAACACCACCACGTCCGGTTTTGGGCGATGCCACTCACCGCGATGAGCGTAAGTAACACACCACTCAGACGAGAAACCGCTGGCGCGCCGGCCTGTTCCTGCTCCATTTCGGCGCATGTTTGGCGCTAGGAGGGCATGATTTTGGGAGAGTCCCTTCGCTCCGCCTGAGGTTGATGGAAGATTTCGAGACCAAATTGAAAGAACAGGACGGTGGGCCACTGAAAGGTACGCGTTTTCCCAGAGGGGTCTGCGGCTTAAACGGTGATCGACGTTCATTCCGAGTTTACGAGGCCTAGGCTACCGTCCGGACCCTTGCAAGGTCGGACCTAGCGTACCCAACTGGGAGAGTTCGGACATGTTCGTAACCCACTGGGGTCCTTCAAGTCCTTTTCGATGTTCAAGCGCGCGGTTTGAAACCCGCCGGTTCTGCCGTCTTTCTTCACCTCTGCCGTCTGCTCGCAGGACGAGCGCTTCCAAGCCATGTTGAAATGACGGTGTCCGTGTCCCACGGCGCCGTCGGAAGAAAAGGGAGAACACGACGCGCTTGAAACGTGGGTTTCACCCTCCGCGAAAATCGCGGTCGACGATGGAGCAGGCGCCGACAGGAGGAAAAGATGTTCACACCTGCACCATCCAATGGGTGTCCAAGGGAGATCCCCAAGCAGTGTAGGGTAGTCCAGCCAGGACACCCATTGGATGGTCCTGGCAGAAACATCGTCGACGGGGATTGATTTGGTGCGTCGACAATGGAGAGAACCTGAAGAGCTGAGGGGTATGACACAGTTGAGAATTGCTGGCCATGCAGCTTGCTTGCTTTCCTAATTGCAGAATCCTTTTGACTGGTAAGTCATATAGTTTACTTCTCCTGTGACTTTCTGCAGCTCAGCATTCCTTCTTTTGTTGCATTCCGAGGCGGGCTTGCAATTTCAGATATCAAGCATGCAGAGTCATCCTGCCTGCTAAATAGTTGTTCTCTTTCTCTTCTTGGCCAGGCAAAATCTGCATGGCAGAGATTGTGGATGTTGCTGCCATTGTGAACAATGCCAAGAAGGTCTTAAGTGAACGAGTGCGTGGTTTGTACAACTGCACGATGAAACCGTGGCGGTTTTCAAGTTGAGAAGCACACCCACTTGGTGGCTCTATACTTACCGTGTGCTTCCGGTTGCAGTGATTTGATCCTCACAACATGCATGGCTTTGGCGGTTCCTTCTTCACCTGCACAGGCAGATAGCCAGAAGGATCAGTGCTGAGCTCGGTTCACACCTCTTTTGAACTTGGCTGGAGATATTCTATTCACACACATCCTGGATACTAAGGGTAGCAAAAGCAACTGCGGCGGCCGACAAGATTGTGAGGGTTTCTTGGCACAGCAAGAAGAACCAAGAAGATGTGCAAGTGCAATACTCGCACACAAAAGTTTAAAATGGGCCGACAAGATGAACGCCCGGATTTTTTCAAGGACTTCATCAAATATTACAATATTACACTCCTCGAAGAAAACAAGATGGAAGTGGAGTTCAGCACCTGTTTGGCAAAGTGTTGCCTTCGGAAAACTCCTGATCATCCGAGTTCAGCACCAGGGCCATGCGTTCGTTCCTGCCATCTACCGTTGGTTTCAGAGGTTCGATGGCACAGACAGACCCAGTCTGGTGGCTCAGACGGACCCATCCTAGACATCTGAAAGGGTGCCAGCATGTGCCAGCGCCCCATCTGAAACCATCGATCCTCACTGAGGAAACCGGCCGGTGTCCACCCTTCAGTGAAGCGCCCCGGAACGCAAAGTAAAGCGTGGCACGTGCCGAGGCTCCGCATCCCTACCCTTCGAAGGCCATTCCTTTGAGAGCTTTAGAGGAAGAAGACTATGCAGAGGCGATCTCCGTGCATCTCTCAGATCGCGACGCGAGAAACACCACTTCGCGCCGCGTGGAGTTTCGTGTCGCGCGGCGCGACATGACACGACACGTGAAGCAACCCAGAACAAATGCTTTGGCCCCCAGAAGAAGGGACCAAGGGCGGCGCAAGTGGGAAAACCTCTTTGGTTTGATTGTTTTTCTCTTTTTTACAGAAGCTTCTGGTGAAGGGGTACAGTGGCCCATGGTGAAGCAATTAACTATATATATATATATATATTGACATAATGTATAGAAAAAGATCGGTTGTAATGTTGTTTTGAACATATCGTTTGTAAGGTTGTTTATTCATGTTTATTCTATACATATAACATTATAATACAGTATATGTTATTATTTGGTTTTGAGCTTGTTCCCCAAGAATCCTTGGACCATCATCCCTCTTGGTACTGCTCGGGGCTCGCACCCGAACCAAACCCATCCAAACCCTTTCCATTTGAGGGCCCGGATTCTTGGGTTTCTCATGTCTGCTAATTGGTGTGAATTTGTTCGAGTGATCCTTTGATCGTTTTGAAGGAGTCCACACATGATCCATCAAGTCAGTCTGTTCAGTTGTTGGGAAGAAAGCATCTGACATGAGGAGACAAAATTGACCGGGAATTTGGTCTTCAAGGACATGGCATTCGACCAGTTTTAGTGTTCGATAAGCCTCAGCATCCCGACATGACTGCTGTTGAACCCAAGTAGACATTAATGAACCAGCAATTGTGGGGATGCCAAGAGAACTCGAAGCATGACCCGCAGGCAGCACGCCCCATCTTTGTTCTTCAAACTACACCGCGCGTCCTTCTTCTTGGGGTTTTCTTGCCCGGAGAAGAGTGCACGGTCTGAGTGCGGATAGTGCGGTCTGACGCACGGTCGGTCTGAGGCATTGATTGAACGAGACTTCTTCCCGGACCTGCCTCATTTGAGGGCACGCTATGAGCTGATGCAAGCCCGGCTCAGGGGGGACAATGCGCTGGCGAAGGCCCGGGAGGGAGGGGTCGATGGCGATGGCGAGCTTCAAACACCCTGGCTGTGGTTTGTGGAGGTTTGAGAGGAGGGACACGAATCCAATTAAGGCAGGCATTTGAACTGGGATGGGGATTCATATCCTTCTCATTCTTTTTCTACTGGTTGGAACTGTTGATAGGAAAACATGTCGGAAAGGTTGCCGATCCCATCTTTTCTCCGACATATCCAGACCATTTCTTGGAGTTTCTTCATGTCATGCAATCAGTTCCGACCCTGCCGTTTTCAAGGGCCTCAACCGAGCGGGCCTGCGACTGAGGCTCTGGAGAAGAAATTGCTCGAGATGCCACGCCCCACTCCGGGACATACTCCAAGGCGGTCGACCCCGCTGCCGGAGGAAGCAGAACTCTTGGAGGCTGCCGGAGGAAGCAGAACGAGCCGCATGCCTGACCCCGTGAATGCGGCCGCAGCACGGCTCAGTGCGTGGGAGAAAGACGATGGTGCCGAAAGTGTCGCTAGTGCCAATGCTGGCAGCATTGCGAATTGCCAGCAGGTCTTACTTCGACTCATCAGCGGCAGGGAGGTCGTAGTGGACTTATCCACGGTTCGACTGGATGACTTTCAGCAAGTCTTTACTTCTGAAGACAACGCATCCTTCGAAGCAGTTCTAGATCGAGATCGTGAACGACGACGGCAGAAGGAATGGTGGGTGGAAACCTCGGAGGAGAAGCATAATACCAAGTGCAAGGCACAGGCCTTAGAGTTCGAGGTCGATGCTCCAACCAGCACGGGGCAGATTATGACCTGTGAATTCCAGGCGGAAGGGGCGGTTTTTTGGTGCCTGGACTCTTGGTGGTGTTGTTGTCTCTTGTTTCCCCCTGAGAATCCTTGGACCTGGACCTGGACCTGGAGCGGCCTGTGATGTCTTTCCTTAACAGTGTTTGGAACATCTATGACCGAACCGACACTTCAGCCAACCAGTGCCTTGCTTGGGGCCTTGCTCGGACGACACACGAGCCTTCAGCCGCCCTATGGGCTTTAAATATCTAGTGGACAATCCCCTCTGTCATTTTCAGGGGTCATTTTCCACGTCCATGATTCTTTCAGGGAGGGTATAAGATGTTACAATCAGATGACCCCTCCCCAGGAGGGTCCAGTCGTACCTTCTTCTGAGGTTTCGGCGCCCCCCATGTCTTCCGTCGGGTTGGACTCTCGTTTCGCCGAACAAAAGACGCACCTCTCCTCCACATGGGGCTTTCCAGGTGTGTTTATGTGCTTGTTCATCCTTTCTGAGGAGGCGTCGAAGGATCTCTCGCGCCGCGTTTTCGTCACGTCGCGGGACGGGAGAAGCCGCAGGCGCGCAACACGCTGTACTTCAAGCCGAGGGGCGAGTCCTCCGCAGCACTGGAGAAGCCGCTGGTGGAGTCCCGCAATACGCGCTTCACTACCCAAGAGCAAAGCGATCTCGATGAGACACTGGTGGCGGCCATTGCTGCAAGGCAGGCAAGAGACACCTGGGGCATGTTTGACGTGGTTGTTCCGCTATGCTCCACTTTCTCACCGTAACAATACGATACAATACGTATATAACGGTTTAACGTAAGAATTGACATGGTGTTTTAAGCCGAATGTCCTTAGTTTTATGCGATATGATAGGTCTGGAATGTCTTGCAGAATCTTTGTATATCCAAGGAAACTGGACAGCAATTCTCTGAAGTCTTAGCCAAAATGGTGAAGGAGGGCACCTTCTCGGTGGCTGCCTTACACAGCTATGGGCACGTTCGAGCTGTGGGTGGACGTTTGCAGACCCCTATGGGTCCAAATTCATATCCCATGGTGAATACTCCTGCCTTGAGTCCGGGCGAAGGCTTTTCGCCCTTCATGACTTTCGGCAAGATTGCTGCTTGGAGAAGTGGGTGGAGCTTAGTATATCCCTTCTCGAACCTGCGCCATCCTGTCTGGGTGTCCTGTCTGGAGATCCCTAAGCAGCAGTGTAGGGTAGTCCAGCCAGGACACCCAGACAGGATGGTCCGGAAGGTGGGGATTTTTAGGCCCCCAAATCTGGTCCCGAAACCATTCCGCGCGCTTCGTATCGCGCCAGTTCCGGCGCCAGCTTTTTCGAACCTGCAAACACATGTTGAAGTGGCGTTTGGACTGGGGAGTTCCATTCAGAAACTGAGGTACCAGCTACTGTAGAGAAGGGACGTTCGGCTCCAGCTGACGCGTGGCGTCTCCTGCCATGCCCCGCCCTGAGGCATCGACGCCGCGCGTCTTGGACGAAGAAACGGGGCCCACCTTCCGCGTGCAGGACGAATCGGCCCGGGACCGTGCGGCGGAGAAGCTGGCGAAAGGTGCCATGCAGAAGCAGCGTGAATCGCGGCAGAACTCCAAGAAGGAGCGAGATCTTGACGTCGGTGGACTTAAAGCAATGGTTGTCAAATGTTTGGAAGAGGAAATAAGAGGGGCTTCGTTCAGAAATGTTCAGAACTCAAACTCACTCGGCTATAGCAATGAAGTTCGATGAGTAGGGTGGCTGGGGTGCTCTCCCAAAACGCCCAAGCTGCAAACTCCTTGGCCATCTCATTCTGGAGAAATGTTCTTTTTGTGCCGTGTCCAGCCATGTCCAGCCATGTTGCTTCTTGCTTGGCAGGAAAGGCTGAAGGCCTTGGGTCTCACGTCTACGCCCACGTCGACGCCCACGTCGAGACAGCCGACGCCTGCTTCGGTGGCTTCAAAGGTGACGCCCATGACGCCCATTGGGCAGCTTCTTGGAGAGGGTTAACAGCTGCTACTAGTAGGGACGCTACTAGGTGGAGGCCATCGCTACTAGGCTGGAGGCTGTTACTACTAGGAAGAAGAAGCTACTAGTAGCTATTTGCTATACTATATAGTAGGGACGCTCAACCTGGAAACCCAAACAACCATGACACAAAACTAAACAATTGGTTGTTCCAATATGGCAATGTTGGGACCAAGAGCCAGAGTCGGATGCTACTATAGGACACCTTTGATATGTTTCTTTCGGTGGTTGATGAAAGTTTGTTCAACCAAACACAGAAGTTCAAGAAACAGATACAACCCCTTCACCGAAGCAAAAAGACATGTATTTTGTAAACACATGAGGGGTCATGAGGAGTCTAGTTGAGTTTCCCTAAAAATCTAGGAGCCAAATCATTTGTGCGAGCACATGCGAGCACTTCTTCAAGGAAGCTTCCCCCGCCGCCTTTAGGGCGGTGGGGGGAGCTTCCTTGAAGACGCGTGAGCTGTCCTGCGTCCAGTAGCTAGTAGCGTCCACTTGTATAGAGAAGTTGATGGGAACATGAAACTCGCCGACCTGGGGGTGGCCTCCCCCACATGTTTCGGTGCAGTGAAACTGCATCCGTCGCTGTGGATCCGAAGCCTTTCAGAACAGCCCTCCTTCTCAACCAAAACAGCCCTCCTTCTGGATGGAACTCCCCAGTCCCTGTCCCACTTCCTATGCTTGTATGATCGCACGCTGGCCCGGAACAACCTCAGAGCTGCTTTCCCAGGCCAATTCGCATCGGATGTGCCTTCGCTCCAAACCCACACACACCGGTCGGGACTCCAGACATTGCGGGATTTGAAACTCACACCTTTCTTGGCTTTTGGACGCGAGCCATTGAATACCCATCTCAAAAACCTGTGATGACGTGCAAAAAGATGCCTCCAAGGGCCTCCATGGCACGTCGCGTCGCTTTCGCTTCTCGCCACATCTCAAGCCACGTCGCTTCGTCTTCGCGAAGTGCGGCCGGCCCGACGTCGCGACGCGCAGCGAGGCTGCTTCACAGAGCGCAACGCATGGCTCAGCGCGGAGGTCGACTGCGCATCAGCACGAAGACGCTCAGTCGACCAACGCCCACGCCGGAAGGAAGAGAGGCCGTCCACCCGCCGACCGACCGACACCCTGCGGCGCCCCGAAGAACCCCTCCGATGGATGAAAAACGCCCGGAGGCCTTCTGTTGGACCCAAAAATATGGGAAGGACCGGAAGGTGAAATGATGTGAAATGCGTAGTATATGACAGTAAGACTATGCTTGTTCGGCAAAAGCCTGGTAAATTCGGTTGGAATCCTTGGGGTACATGATTCTTGTGTGTCCTTTCCAGCCCCATTCAAGCGCAGCTGAGTGAAGACATGCTGGGGATGGACCTCAAACGACATCAGAAATAGAACTGAAACTGGGAAGATGAGCTCATTTATCATGTGTGAGCTGTTTGAGAAAATCACAGAACATCTCCACGCCAGACAAACGATCCTTTTTGGGGATTCTCATCAGGGTCCTCGGATTTTTACCCTCAGATTTCAAGCGAAAGACTTGAAGGACTCCACAAGACTTCAGGTCGGCCATAGGGCCGAGACTTGGACGGAGACGACGTGACATCCAATCCCTTACGGCCCGGGCTCCAGTCATATCTTCACTCCTTTCGGTTCGGTGAGACGCCCCAGGGGTTCGGGGGCTGAGGGAGATACGACTGGAGCCCCGGGTCACGAAAAGAGCAGATCACTGTGGTGAAGACATATGGACTCGAGACCGGGGATCCGGATCGATCCGGGGATCCGGAGATCGACCGGGGAACCGATGCCGTGGGGCCATGTGCACGAACGCGATCGGCACGCGACGCGACCTGAAGGACGAGGGCCCGACGAGACGAGAACGGCCCGATTCGGGCGACGAGAGCTTCCTGCGGTCGTGAAACGCGACGTGATCGGTCCCAATGCGTCTGACCGATGTACTCAGCTGTTGACAGATTCTGGGGTGGTTTTCCTGAGAATTAGATGGGTCCAGAAAACATGTGGGGAAAATGCTGATAGATGCTGATAGTATATATGAGAAGAATCCAAAACCCTTTCCAAATGTGGAAACCGTACAGTTCCTATCTATTTGGAGACCATGGATGGGTCATGAGCAGCTCGAGTTCGGACGACCCCGGAGGTCAAAAGAGCACGGACGACCCCGGAGTCTTGGCTGCATGAGGTCATTGAGATGTTGGATCGGTGGCATGAGTGAAGACCCCATCGTTCAACTGTGAAAACGGCATGAGCAGAGTGAAGTGATATTAAAGATCTCATTTAGGTCTCTAACTTTTGATAGGGTCTTTCTTCTTTGGTTCCAGACCCGCTTTTGAGACTTGGTTACGAATGTCTGTCAGGTACAGAACCCCTCGATCCCCGCTTCTTTGATGGCCGACCTTCTTTGAGCGTCTCGGGGCGACCGGTGGAGACCGGTGGCCTGCCCAGTGGGGTCGGTGATCGACGCCCGCCGTTTCACCGGAGAAAACACCGACCGCGCTGTGCCTGCGCATGGCTTGGGGCGCGCCTGCGCATGGGGAATCAGGTGCGAGTGGAGGGAAGCAGAACAAGCAGGAGAGGGCAGGAGTGGTGGAATGGCCAGAAATCTGGATTTGGCTAGACGGCTGGACATGACATGTTGGTGGTGAAAGCGAGCCGGTAGGCCAGGCTAAGGAGTTGGAAACGAGTCTTGTTTTGCCTAAAACGACTGAGACTGCTATAGTTCCCCAAAACGAGAGGGAGGGGACACCCTCCAAATCCCTCCAACTTCAGCTGAAAGAATCTCGCCCGAGGGAAAGACCTGCAACCCAGAATTGTTTCTGGTCGAGACGGAGTTTCCAAGAGCATGCTTGGTTTTTGGGGCTCAAGCAGTAAGAGCCAAGCAACTTCGAGGACAATCATGAGAAAGCAACTTCCTTGATCCAGCTGCACAAAGGGCCACTGCAAACGAACAACAGCTCCGAAAAAGCAGCACAGACTCCGCCGCCGCGAGCACAAATCTGGTGAGGCCTCTTGGATCTGTTCGGTCGGTCACCCAAAAAGAGACACAAACCCTCTCCCAGACACTCCATGCGGAGTGGCATATTGACCGATCCGTGGACCCTGGAAATCAACCACCCCAACTGATCGGTAAATATCCCATAAATGGATAGGCCCCCGAATGCAAGCTTCCAGTTGCCCACCATGCATTTAATAGGCGGGTCATCCCGAACCAGCGAGCTGTTTTACGATGAAAAACGCAACAGGTCACCAGGTCAGCCATGGCCAGCCATTTGTTGAATGGGCTTGGAAGTCTGGGGGAGACACAAACCCTTTGGGATCCCCCCCTGCAACAACTGTGGAAGAGTCCCATGAGTTCGAGGTGGTTTTTCATTCATGCCTATTCGTCCAAGGACTCAACAGTGGACTCACCATATCCTCTAGAAGTTGAACCACCATGTTGAAAACCATTGGGGATGTTACACTACAAAACCAGCATGCTTCCAAGGTTAAAAAATAAACAAAACAACATGGTCGGTTTCTGGACTTCCAGGGGCATCACTCTTCGGCACACTTCCTGCACCGGCACCGCCCGCACCGCTTTCCCACCGCTGTCCCACCGCCTCCACCCCCCGCTGCGAGGGCCATGGCGGACGTGGACATGGAGAAGATTCGCAGAGTCCACTGGGCCTGGGGCGCCCGGTCGTTGCGAACGACGGTGGGTCGTCTCGGAGGGAAGGCGACGTGCTGGAAGGGCTGCCCATTCTCGCCATTCTGCCCGTTTTCGGCCGTCGAGCTTCGGGTTGGACGAAGGAGTTGGTCGACCACTGGTTTAAAGCAGTTCAATTATACCTCAAAAGATAGTGTTGGAAGGCTAGGGGAGTGGTTGAAGTGAACATTTTCAGGATGACCATCGTTTTTGGTTCATTCATATCGAATTATGGTTCGGTTCACAGGTGAGATCGGATGCTTCGTCGCGCGGTGGGTCGAGCGAACTGGCCCGGCCTTGGAGATTTCTTGCAACGGACCTGGACCAAGATCGATCGTATGACACCAACAGTGCAGCTGTTACAGCTGAGTGTCACTTCCCTCAGGTTCGGTGGTTAGGACCCCCTGGCACCCACCCCTGGCCCATCTTCGAAAAGGAGGTAGTTGGAGCCGCAGGGATTGGTCTTTCTTTGGTGATCTGTTCTTTGATAAACATGGCATGGCTGCCAGAGATTTGTGCTTTTGATTTGACAGCCAGAGCTCAGGTGCCGCTGGAGTCCAACCCAGATATGTTGAACGACTTTGCCAGCAAGGTCGGAGTGTTATTTTGGGTCTGCGTCTTCGCAGTGTTCCGCTTCTCAACGAAAAGCTGACAGGCTTCTCGTTTGAAAGATGTGTCGGGCCAGGCACATGCCAGGTCCGACGTGTCGTTTGCATCGTCTTGTTGGGCGATCGATCTGATCGATCTCGATCCGAAGTCTGGTCGCTTCTCGCACGGCGAGCGCCGAGAGGTGGGTCTTCCTCCTGGCTTCGAGTTCGTGGATGTCTTCAGTGCGCCGGAAGCCGCCGAAGCCCGCCGAAGCCCGGAACCGAGACGTCTTTAACACCGAAACCGTGGGCGGTGCGGACCTTCCGCGCACGTGCCGCGGCGGAAGTTCGAGGTTTGATGTGGAGCCGAGGTCTTCTCATCAAGGTGCTTCAGTGCTAAGTAGAGTCTTTGACTCCCAGGGTGTAGCTGTTCATCCCAGATGGATTGTTTGGGATCAGCAGCTGAACTGCGCAAGCTTGGCCCCCGCGAAAACATGAAAACACGTCGAACCAAAGGGACTCGCACTGTTGGCCATCTCCGCTCATGTCAGCTCTTCCTGGAAACCCGCTTTCTCAACCAGAAGGAGTTTGGGTTAGAACCCAAGATGGCTGCTGCCGCCAGCTTGAGATCCTGAGACACATAAGGAAGTGGCGTTTGGACTGGGGAGTTCCATCTATGTTACTGTGTCCGGTTTCTTGCTAATGTTGGACGCTGATTAGTAATAGGGCCCTCTATAATGCTATATTGTTCAAAAAAAATTATTGACACCCTATTTGTTTTTAAGGGTCCTCTATTATGCTAAATTTTTGGGGGATCCTTTTTTTTATTTGAAAAACATTTAGGGTTAAGTATATTTCCTTTAGACAAATAGAAGTATTAATTCTTAGTACTACTGAGCCAATGGTTGGCTTGCTGAGGGTATTGATAAGTATAGGTTTCTATAGTTCTTCTTCACAAACTGACAGCTTCACAAAACCATCAATTTCCTTCAGTAATCAATTCCCTAATCAATCCTTTGTCGCGTTGGCTTGCTGAGAGTATTGATAAGTATATATGGGTTTCTCAAGTTCTTCTTCAAAACTCACAGCTTCCCAAAGCCGTCAATTTCTTAATCAATCCTTTATGTATAGTAGTATGAAAGGATTGCAAAGAATACCTAATGACAAAGAATTTTAGAAAGGTAAATGAATACTACAATCAATTACAAAAAGGAATCCTCACAGGAACCCAGATCTTTGGTGGTGGTTTATTATAGAGGATCTCCCATTTGTTTGAGGGAGGGGGGGACCCCCCTTTACTAATCAGGATCCAACATTACCAGCGGGTTGAGGGTCCCTAAAAGCGGATGGCTGAGAAACCCCGAAGAAGGCCCTGGGGTACGGCCCCCTCCTCCCCGAACAGGTCCCCCGCGGGTTCCCTACGGGGGTCCCCCGTGATTCCTGGGCACCGGGGCGGGAATGCAGCGGTGATGGGTTTCGGACCGGGACGGGAGTGTTGGTTGAAGGCTGGAAGCATCACCCAGATGCTCCATGGGACTGCCATAAATGCCGATCATTTGGGGTGTTGCCAGGGGGTCAATGTATGCATATATATACATATAATATGCCAGTCCCATGGAGTGTATGGGTAAGAAGCTGCTGTTTGTGTTCGGACCTTCAGCAGCCCAAAAGAAGCCAACGATGTGTTTGTCCGCCCGTCCATCTCTTCTTTTTTGAGGACGGGTGCTTCAAAGCTGTTGTCTCGTAAATATAGCGAAGTCGAAAGACTCTTATACTCTATGTTCTCTTGGCAGCAGGTGCATCGCTACTAGTAGCTGCTACTATGCCCCCAGCCTTCCTAGATCAGAAAGGTTGATCATTAACCCGGTGTGTTCTCTTAGTATCTCTTAGTGCAGTACAGGAAGTTCCTCTTCAGGTCCCCTCCGGACTGTAGTCTGTAGTCCAGGGTTTATAGCTATATGGGGTCTGTCCGTTCTTACCTGTAACAGTCGGTAAACAATTAGCCCTTATGTACTATGTTTAAACAAAGCCTTTACTCACCATCATCCACTATTACTGCTAATTAATAAGAGAGTTCTCTCAGCTAGTTAGATGTGTCCTCAAGAGGTCAAGTTGAACAACTATTCATGCACACATCGTCCTTGATGCACTCCTGATGTGCTGCCATGTTCAAGCAGTTTCACAGATTCCTTGAAAGGCAAGTTCAAGTATCAGGGGCCATGAAAGTGACACTCAATTCCTCTGACAAGCCGAAGAGCAGAAAATCACCCCTTATGATGTCCGGCCTCTATCGATTTGCATCATGCTCAGTCTAACGCCGCTCTCCTGAGTTATTCCTGCACATCCCAAGAACCAGAAACCAAATGGTTGTTGCAATATATGGCTTGCTTGACATCCTCTACATAAACAAGCGGTAGGGAGTGTGGAAGACAAGAACGAGCAGAAAGGTTTCTGATTGAGACTGGGCTTTGTAGGGTGCTTTCTTCACATGACAGATGTTCAGACGTTGTCAACCAATCAGTCCAAGCGCATCAACCGATTTCGCTTCCAACGAAGCACCTCGTGTGGCACCGCGTCCGCCCCCCGCGCTGTGGCCGGGCCGTGCGTGTTGAACACTCACTCCATGTGATGTGCTTCGAGTGGCGATGGCAGGTGGGAACCCAGGGGCGATGGGAGCGGACTACAGTCGCCCTAAGAATCCGGGCCCGGTTCCCAACAGATAGGGGGAACCGGACCCCTGCGCAACTCGGTGGAGGGTCCGGTCCGACCCCTGCCATGGAGAGCCCGTTGGGATTCTTAGGGTGGGCAAAGCATCGCTAGCGGCCAAATCACTGCGGCGAACTGATGCTGCACAACCAGGGTTCGATCACTCTAAGTAGTCCATGCATCGATCATCATTCAATGGATTACATGCAAGTGTTTTGGACACCGAGGGCCGCCCCGAAGTTTTTGATTGTGGTTTGCTCGACACGTCGCTAGCTCAACCACTGCTGCCATCTTTGGGGATCGGAATTTGTGGGGAAGTAGCTCAAACGCAGATGACTCGACAAAGGCAAACTGCAGACTTGAGAAACAGCAATGGTTTGACAACGTTGGACATGTAGGTATAGGAAAACCACTCTTGCAAGAATTAGGCGAACATGGTCTATGCTGCCCAAAGCACTGCTCTATCCAACCTTACAAGAATCTCTTTCAAGGTGTTGTGATGTCTTTGTCGCACGGCCCACAAACTTGCACTTGCACGGCCTCACAGCTTGACTTCGTGGTTAGAAGTCATGGCATGTCACGCGCCATCTGAGCTCGGCTGAGCTTCGGAAGCCCTCAGCCAGGTGCTGCTAACAGCCAAAAGACCCGAACAGCTTCCAGGCGCCGACCACCGAGACGCCGCTGCTCCGAGCCTCCGACCACCGCGGACCCGACCGGGCGCGGATCACGGCAGGACGTCCTCAGCGCGTGAAGTGGCTCGACCAGGCGCGGGGAACGTCGCGGAGCGTCGTTCGACCGACCGACGCGCTCAGCGTGGAAACTGGCATCGTTGACCTATATTGCGGGGGTGGTTGAAAGGGGTCCATGCAGGTATTTCTAGTTGCATCTCCATGCATCTCCTGTGTTCCTGCTGGTGTTGGCCTTGGCAGGAACTTCTGGTAATGAGCGCGCGAAAGCAGCGGCCGGGGGCCATAGACATCATAGATGAGCCTGGAAAGCGGTTCGTTCGGACAAAATCTTGGGTGACGACTGCTGAGGCTCCGCATGAAAGTGGCATCCCAGCGACTTGGCAGACCTTGGCAGAGACAGTCTTCAGAAAGTGGCTGATGTGCGAGGATCCCAAAGTTCCTTAATCTAACCCCTAAAATTGAACCACCCCCTTTTTGATTGCCTTTACAGGGTTTTTCACTGCAAAATCAGATCAACCAATTCAAAAATGGTGACTTCCTAGGGTAAGTGTTTTCTTTGAACAAGTGCTTGTGCATTCATGTGCACCCCAGTGCCCATATTTGCCATGTCCAGACGGTCAAGTGCGTCTTCTCTCCAGTCGACCGGCAGAAAAAAAAAGCCTCGGTGAAACCACCCCGACCGGCCGGATTTCCTATGTGCTTTCCATGGCGTGGACAAGGGGGTCTATCTTCTCTTCCAAAAAGACTTGATTCTTTCAATAGAAACACCTTTGCCAGAGTCATGTTATAAAGATTTGATCTCTTGCCACCCATTCTACAGACACCATTTCTCTATCAAATGTGCCAATGATCCCGTAATATCCTGTAATAGCTCGCACGGAGCCTCCATTTCTCGATTCTATCAGCTTGGCCAACTCACTCACCTCAGCTCAGTTGTGTTGCTGCCGAAGGGATGGCACAATCAAGTGCGTTCGCTTGGTGCATTTCTCTTCATTGCTTTTGCCTTCTGCTTTAGCCCGGCTGACGACGACTGAGGCGAGTGCCTTTTGGACACCTCGCAAGACCGAAGGGGCGCCGCCCGGTGTGCCACGGCGAGCCTCAAGCAGGTTCGAACCAACCGGATGAGTTTGGGTCGACATGGGGAAACATCCAAAGTTTTGTTTCGTGTTACATTCGTTCACCTGAACAACGCGAGGATCACTTTCTTAGGGCTCCTTGGCCGCACCCTCCTTTTCGAAGATGGGCCAGGGGTGGGTGCCAGGAGAGTTTAACGACCTTCTGAGGATGTGGGCCGTTCGTTCGCATGTTGGGGCCCTAAACCTTAACGGCCAAAGGAGTCACCAAAGGCATCCGATGGTTGTTGGGTCGCCCCTTCTGCGTCGCGTCTACCGGGCACAGCGGCTTGCGGCTTGCGGCTCCGCGAACTCCGCGCCGTGTTACGGCCCGATTCGCTCCAGGACGAGCTCAAAGAAGTCGAGCGTCGCAGCGCCTGGATGAACATCGGACGAGCGTCAGTGCAAAGAGGGGGACGCTGTGAATCAGCGTGGTGTTGAATAGAATGATATAGCGCGACTTGCGAATCTGTCCAAGCCACAGCTCATGTTATGATAAGTTTCTAATTAGGGATCAAGCCAGTGAGACAGTGACAGAGTCTGGAGTAATGGCCCGAAAATGTGAGCAAAAGAAATCGGTTGTCCAACTGCAGGGATGCAGTATTATATACATAAACTTTAAAATCCATTGGCCTGTCGAGATGCTGGTATCAATTTGGTATAAACATTTGAAAGCTGTTCTCTTCAAACTATGTCCATAATGTGTAGTTCAGCAAGTTTTTTTCTACAGCCATGT